TCACAAAAAGAATCGCGGCCCGTAGGGTCGTCGCCTTAAATATCAGTCAGAGGTCCTCTTGGACCGTCAGAGGAACCCCTGAAACAATGCGGGTGTCTAATTCGGTCAGAGATCAGGGACGCCGAACAGTTGGCTTCCTGTCAGTCTGAACCCTAGGAGCCCATTTTCCAAGCAGAAGCAAGATCAGGCGCCACGATTTACATTGTCTGGGTCCTTGAAACTGTGGTTGAGGCCTCTTTGTCGACCAGGGGCCCTCAATGCATAACAGTAGGTCATGTCTCGGCTAGTCGTCCTTAGTCGGTCAGGGACTTTGTCTGAGGAGGTCTGAGGAGAGGCCGGAGGGCCCTCTGGGACCAAAGATCAAGGGCCCGGTTAAACTCGGACCCAGCCCCTACCCGTTAAGCTTTAACCTGAAACGTCAGTCAAAGGGCTTTTACAAGGTCCCTTTTATAAGGATTCTCTATCCCCATTGTACAGGGTCTCGACACGGAACTAAACAGTCGGCTTCATGTCTGTCTGAGCCCTTAAGGCCCATTTTCCAAGCAGGAACATGGTCGGGGCTCGCTATTTGCGATGTGCAGGTTCCCTGACACAACGAGCTTCCCTTATGTATGAACGATATCTCTTCCCTTACTATCAACGAAGTTAAGTAAAAATCCTCTTTCTTCGGATCGTCGTGCATTAGATCGCATCACCTCACGTGATGACATCGAATTAACGAAGTAGTCAATGCCTGAACACAAAACTATAACAGCATAACAGGAGCTAATGTAGAGACCAAGACAGACGTCCCCATCTGCAGCATCATCTTAATGCGTTTCTTTGATCTGTGTCAGGTGCGGTAGTGCAGTAAAAGAAACAGCATAGCGCAGTGTGCCCCTTGGAACATCTCATGGTCATAGAAGATGTCAAAGGCGTCCTAAAACCTAACTTTTTCATTTCATCTGTTACAAAACAGTGGCAGTTGAATAAACGTATGAGAAATCGAACCAACAACAAATGTATGAGTAAGGGTCAGATGTAAATCAGGTAAACTTATCGTTAACGCACACGTAGCTAACCGGACACAGATAAAATGTGTCCTATGTGTGCTGTGTACCGCGCTTCGGTAAATAGCCCCCAAGTCTATGTAGAGGCGGCCCCAGACTCCAATAATGGTGGCACCTTTGGCTATAGCAGAGGTATTCCACAATTTTGTAGGGGAACTCGAACATAAATATTAAGATTTTGTACCTTTGACCTCCGCAGATACTTTTTTGCATCCTTATTATTACATACATATACCATGAAATACCTTAGATTTCGTTTGCCTCAGATGCTCACCTAATTACCTCGTGGCTCCTTCCGCCTTCGTTTGATGGCTCCTCCGTTTCAGATCTCTGTTGCAATCCTCTCTAAAAACTTCAAAATGTAAAGACCTCCGTCAGCCTGTATTTGGGCTGTCCATCTTCATAGCTCGGAGCTCTCTTTGGCATGAGAGGAGTGCAGGCTTCTTGCTTACTTACCCCTTCGGTGCTCCCCCCCCCCTCTTTCCTCAACCGTCCTGCTCTACCCTATTCTTCCATTTTGCCGTCCTCTCTTCCACACACCACTTTCCTTAGACTTGTGTCGTTCCTTTGCCTGGCCTCAGGGCACGTGTTTGGCTGCCGTCCAGATCTCAGGTGGATCGCTTTTATATTCGCACATGAACATGAGTTTATCGTATGTATCGATGTTTAACCGTGCGTTGTCGCAGTTAATTGAACGCTAAAATCAGTTCTATAAATCTTACATTTCCTTAATTCAGATTCAGAACAAGATCCTTTGTCCATTTGGCTAGAAAACAGTTTCCATGCTTGGAAGCGGGTATTTTGACTTCATGCTCTTTAGCGCTAGATCTGACCAAACTTGGACAGTCGGCAGTTCATCTCAAGAAATAAACCGGAATATTTCTTGATTTCTTATACAGGCTATCCACCGGGCCTTGTTTCGTTTCTGTATCCCAAGTTAAAATCAAACGACAACGTAAAGCTTATCACCCCTTCCGCGAACAGTACGAGGGAAAATGGAGAATATATCTCGCCCTTCTGTGGTTAACGCCGTTCTTTTCCAGGTCGCTGTGGTATCTCACTCCGGGTAAAGAGTGTCTTGCGCCTCGTATTCACCGTTTGCACTATGCAGCAGCTTCTCCGATATTCCGCAAGGTCTATTTTTAATCAAAAATATACCTGAAATGTCACGTTGGATTTTTAACACCTGGATCGCACGAAAACTATTAATGCATAATAAATACGCAAAAATACTGTGGAATTGGTTAGTATATGAATTGCATGAGTTCAAATGTTAGGGCATCGACTGACGCGGAATGCACGATATCGCACACAGAATGCACGATAATTCACACCTGAGAATCTTCAATAAATGCGCGAGGTGACAGGCCTCCCATTCTTGTTCCAGCCTGTCTCAACAAGAACAAACGAGCAGCGACAGAAACATCAAACGCCTCGCCGGCTGCGACGCCCAACGGCTATTCTGATATCTGTGGGTCAATTGCAGCAATGCTGGTTGCCATTCCCGTCGTCAGGCCGCCAGGGCTTGCTCAGGCGAACAGCGACTCCACCAGCGCCGAGCGGCGGCCGAGCGCGGCCGCGATGGGGCGACACCTGCCGGTCGGGTCGAGCATCGTGCCCGGGTGGCAGCTGTCGGCGGCCGCCTGCTGTGCCGTCACGCAGCGGCCGGCGCTGGACAGCGACGCCTCCGCCTGAGAGCAGGGAGATAGCCCGGTCCGTACAGGTGCCCATCAACGGCAACGACATACCCAGAGATTATGGGAGACAGAAGAGGAGAGTGGGATATGCGTAAACCGATGAGAATGAGAGCAGTATAATGGTGATGGGCTAAAGCAAAGTATGAGTTGGGAGGTGCGTTTTTCCGAACAGAAATACCCCTTATTTTTTAGACGCATCGAGTGATGAGACACATTGGTGCCACCGTATAACATGCAACGATGAGCACTGTGCTATCTTACTCCTACCAATGCTCATAAGATATTCCCCTCCACCCCTTCGACAACGGAGAAAGCCCCAGACGGTGAGGTTTGGAGTCCCGGCAATATTACACCATACAATTAGCTAAAATCGCCGTATTGTCACCTTTGCTTCTACCTCATTCTCAACAAACCTGGGGGCAGGCGAAGTTCGGTGGAATAGGTGGTAAGATCCTTCCACCACCTCTTCTATTGCGACCAGGAAATATGCTGAAAAATATTCATATCTTTAATAATCATCGCCTTGTACCTTTGCAACCTTGAACACCACGGTACAAAACATGAACATATAAATGCAATGCAAGGAAAGAAGTAAGAGTAAAGAATGTGAGGAAAGAAGATTTACAGTCAAATCCATATCTTTGCATGGCGATTTTTTGTTGCCGAGATGCATTCTTCTGCTGCTTTC